AAATGTCTGTTCATGTCTTCTGCCCATTTCTTGATTGGATTATTTGTTCTTTGGGTGTTGAGTTTGATAAGTTCTTTATAGATTTTGGATACTAGCCCTTTATCTGATATGTCATTTGCAGATATTTTCTCCCATTCTGTCGGTTGTCTTTTGGTTTTGTGGACTGTTTCTTTTGCTGTGCAAAAGCTTTTTATCTTGATGAAATCCCAATAGTTCATTTTTGCCCTTGCTTCCCTTGCCTTTGGCGATGTTTCTAGGAAGAAGTTGCTGTGGCTGAGGTTGAAGAGGTTGCTGCCTGTGTTCTCCTGTAGGATTTTGATGGACTCCTGTCTCACATTTAGGTCTTTCAACCATTTGGGGTCTATTTTTGTGTGTGGTGTAAGGAAATGGTCCAGTTTCATTCTTCTGCATGTGGCTGTCCAATTTTCCCAACACCATTTGTTGAAGAGACTGTCTTTTTTCCATTGGACATTCTTTCCTGCTTTGTCAAAGATGAGTTGACCATAGAGTTGAGGGTCCATTTCTGTGAGATGCCACATATTTTTATACAGATATCTAATTGTTCCAACATATCTGTTGAAAAGATTATCCCCTCAACAAAGATTGCCTTTGCACCTAGGACAAAAATCTATTGTCCATATATATGTGGGTTTATTTCTGGACTCTGTATCTATTTCTTTATTTGCACACTTAAAAAATACATACACACAGGGCTATTTCAATTTTTTAAAAATTCATTTAAAAAACATAGGGTGATTAACATTATCTATTTCTTCTTGTATGAGCTTTGGTAGTTTTGAGTCTTTCATGAAATTTGTCCATTTCATTTAAACTGTCAAATTTGTTGGTATAAAGTGGTTCATAATATTCCCTTTTTATCTTTTAAATATCTGTAGAAACTAGTGATGGCACCTCTTTCATATGTATCTTCTGTCTTTCTTCGTGATCAGTCTGGTTAGAGGTTTGTCAATTTTACTGTTCTTCTCAAAGAACTAGCTTTAGGTTTCTTTGATTTTTTTTTTGTTGGTTTCGTTTTGTTTTTCATTAACTTCTTCTCTGATCTTCATTATTTCCTTTTGTCTACCTACCTTACATGTAATTTTCTCTTATACTTTTTGAAGTAGAAGCTGAGGTCATTAATTTGAAACATTTCTTCTTTTCCGATGTAGGTATTTATTGCTATAAAATTCCCTTTCAGTACTGTTTTAGTACATCCCACAAATTTTCATATGTTGTGTTTTTGTTTTTATTCAATTCAAAATACTTTTTTAAAAAGATTTTATTTATTTATTTGAGACAGAGAGAGAGAACACGAGTGGGGGGGCAGAAGGAGAGGAAGAACAAGAAGCAGACTCCCCACTGAGCAGGGAGCCTGACTCGGGGCTTGATCCCAGGACTCTGGGATCATAACTTGAGCCCAAAGGCACTTAACCGACTGAGCCACCCAGGTGCATCTCAAAATATTTTCTATTTTCTCTTCTGATCTCTTTTTTTGGACCCATGTGTTATTTAAAAGTATATTATTTAGGTTCCAAATATTTGGTAATTTTCCAGATATCATTTTGTAGATGATTTTTAATGTAATTCTTTTGTGGTCAGAGAGCATCCTTTGTATGACTTTAGTCCTTTTAAATTTATTGGGTCTTGTTTTATGGTCCAGATTGTGGTCTGTCTAGCTAAATGTTCCCTTGTGCCCTTAAGAAGAATACATATTCTGCTATTGCTGGGTGGGGTGCTTAATAAATATCAATTAGGTCAAATTGGTTGATTGTGTTGTCTGGATTAATTGAACCCTTTATCATTTTGAAATTGTCTTCTTTATCCCTAGTAATATTCTTCGCTCTGAAGTTTACTTAGTTTGTTATTAATGTAACCATTCCCGCTTTCTTTTGATTTGAGTTAGCATGGCACATCTTTTTCTATCCTTTTGATTTTAACCTATTTGTGTCTATATTTAAAGTGGGTTTCAGAGGAGCATGTGACTCTTGATCCTGGGGTCGTGAGTTCAAGACCTACACTGGGTGTAGAGACTACTTAAATAAAAAAATATCTTCAAAAAAATCATAAAATGTGTTTCTTGTAGGCCGCTAGGTTTTGATTTTTTTAAAAGCTAGTCTGACTGTCTCTGCCTTTTAATTGGGGTGTTTAGACAACTATAGATAATGCAGTTATTAATATGGTTAGGCTTAAGTCTATCTTATTTTATTCTACTTGTCATATATTCTTTGTTCCCCTTTTCCTCTCTTTTGCCTTCTTTTGGACTAATTCAGTATTTTTTATTATTACATTTTATTTCCTTCGTTTGCCTTTTAGCCATAACTTTTTATTTATTTTAGTGCTTGCTTTAGGGCTTAAAGTATGCAACCTTAGATTATCACAGCGTACCTTCAGATGATGTCATACACCTTGTGTATAGTGTGGGACCCTTACAGTGGTATACTACCATTTCTTTCTTCCTGGCCTTTATGTTACTGTTGTCATGTGTTTTATTTTCATACATGTTATAAATACCACACTATATTACTATTTTTGCTTATATGGTCAATTATCTTATAAAGAGACTTAATAAGTAATAAGAAAATTTTATATATTTGTTCATGCCATTACTATTTCCAGTCTTTCTTATTCTTTTGTATAGATCCATGTTTCCGTCTATTATCCTTCTCTTTGTACCTGAAGGACTTCCTTTAACATTTCTTATAGTGCAGAGGTACTGGAGATGAATTCTTTCTGCTTTTGTGTATTTGAAAAGGTCTTCATTTTGCCTTTGCTTTTGAAATATAGTTTTGCTGGGTATAGAATTCTGGGTCAGCTGTTTTCCCAGTAGGTAAAAGGTACTGCTCCGTTGTCCTCTCACTTGCACTGTTTCTGATGGGAAGTCATCCCTATTTTTGTTCTTCTGTGTGTGATGCATCTTTTTCCTCAGGCTGCTTTTAAGACTTTCTTTTGGTCACTGGTTTTGAGCGATTTGATTATGATGTGCTTTGTTGTTGTTTCATTCATGGTTTTGGGGGGTTTTTGTTGTTGTTGTTGTTGTTTTGTACTTGGAGTTAGTTGCTTGAGCTTCTTGAATCAGCAGGTTTATAGTTTCCATCAAGTTTGGGAAAGTTGCACCCTCCTTTAGGGAGCCCAATAGCCCATATATTAGGCTGCACTGGGGCCCAGCAGCTCTCAAGGTGATAAGTCAGGATAACCATAGAACCAATTTTGATTCTCATCTCTCAGGTATTATCGTCCTGTGTTATCTCATGTCCAGAGTCTTGCTTTATATATTTTCTCTTTTTTGTTGTTGTTAATTTCATGGGGAGGGTAAATCTAGATTTGGTCTTATCACTCCATCATGGCCAGAAGCAGATTTGTATTTTAAAACTCAATATGACCAGCTGGTTATGTTTTTGTTATTACTAAGAGTAGCTTGTGGGACGCCTGGGTGGCTCAGTCGGTTGGGCATCTGCCTTCGGCTCAGGTTATGATCCCAAGGTACTGGGATCAAGTCCCATGTCGGGCTCCTTGCTCAGCGGGGAGCCTGCTTCTCCCTCTGCCTGCTCTGCCTGCCACTCCCCCTGCTTGTGCTCTCTCTCCCTCTGACAAATAAATAAAATCTTTAAAAAATCTTAAAAAAAAAAAAAAGAATAGCTTGTGTCACCTGCACACTGACTAGCCATGTAAAACTGCATATATGGAAGCTGGTTTGAATTTAGGATTTTGCAGCAAATATTGAGAATTGGGAGATGGCATAGGATTTGACTGTGATTATTATCTGTGTTGAGTATGGTCTGAACCTTGGCCATACATTTGAATCACCTGGGAGATTTTTAAACACTGATGACTCAGCCCCACCCCAGAAATTGTCGGAATAATTTGTCTAGAGTCTGGCCTGGACATCAGGATTTTTGGAAGCCCCCAGGTGACTCACTGTATAGCCAAGCTAAAGAGCCACTGCGGAGGTGGATATCTCCTGGTCCTCCAAGTGTCAACAGCCATCTGCAACCCATTTCTGTCTTTCTTCTCCACCCCCCCCCAGTAAAGTCCAGGTTCTATACGGGGGGACAGACCTCTTTGATTACGAGGTGCGCAGGACCTTCAACAATGACATGCTCCTGGCCTTCATCAGCAGCAGCTGCATCGCGGCCCTCGTCTACATTCTCACCTCCTGCTCAGGTAGGCCTCCTCAGAAGGCCCAGCAGGAACCAGCTCCCCTCTCCCCTCCCCATGTGCTCCTGTCCCACCAAAGCCTGCCTTCTCCAGAATGCCAGAAATCATCTTGAATCTGCCGTGTCAGAGCTGGTGGGTGGGGTGCTCAGAGGTCACCTTTCAACCCCAGGCAGGGGGACTGTGGTCCAGACACAGCTCGGGCCATACCCGAGGGACCCCACTCCCAGGACCTCACATGGTTAACCTTGTGCCCTTTGACCATCATTTCCTTGCTAAAAATTTTTTGGGGGGAGTCTGGAGTATCAGACCCTCCTTTATGGATTATTCTGTAGCCTGTTTTATAGTCCCCAGCTGCCCTTTTGTCCCTCAGTTCACTGTAACACTGCCACCTTCCCACATACCCTGGTTGCTTCTTTCTCCATATACAGTAGGTACTCTCTATTGCCCACGCGAATGACAGATTAGCCAGACCTTCAAAAATAGAAAAGACATTCATTCATTCATCCACATAACAATTATTAATTGGGCACCGACTATGTGTCGGATGCTCTAAGGTGCCAGAGATCCAGTGAAGAATATCACAGACACGTTTACTACCCTCATGGAACCTCTAGTCTACTGGGGTGCAGATGTTAAATATATAATAATTCCCTACTAGCAACTGAGTTCAGTTCTATGAAGATGAGGGCCTGTGAACCACCCACTCAGATGGCTCCCTCTGCCACTCTGGCTTCCTGCCTGGCCCCTTCTGTCTGGGCATGAGAACTGTTCAGGACATACCCAGGGTGGTGAAGGGCACTCTGTGGGGGACATGGCTGTGAGGCAGAATCCAGCTATGCCCTCGAAGGGTGTGTGTTCTGCTGGGCCCTCCCACTCTCTCCCACGTGCCTCTTGCCCTGCCCAGTGTTCCTGTCCTTTTTCGGGATTGCCAGCATTGGCCTCAGCTGCCTGGTGGCGCTCTTCTTGTACCATGTGGTCTTTGGTATCCAGTACCTGGGCATCCTCAACGGCGTGGCTGCCTTTGTGATAGTGGGCATCGGTGAGTTTCCTCTGTGGCATGGTGGGAAGGGTGGGAAGGAGGTGAAGATTTGGAATAGGGGCCTCGTTCTGGGGAAGGGGTAGGGCCAGGGAGCAAGGAGGGTGGGGCTTGGATTCTTGGTGGGTAGAGCCAAAGGCGGATGGGTCTTTCCAAACCCCAGGCTGAGAAGCAGGACTCCCCTGGAGCCTGACCTCTTAGGGGGCCACTCTGGGTTAGTGTAGGCCCAGCGTGGGTCTGATCCTGGAGACAGCAACATGATCCTGAGCCTGCCCCTGCTGGCCCGGGGCTCCCACCCGTAGGTGTGGACGATGTCTTTGTGTTCATCAACACCTACCGCCAGGCCACCCACCTGGAGGACCCCCAGCTGCGGATGATCCACACCATCCAGACGGCAGGCAAGGCCACGTTCTTCACCTCCCTGACCACAGCTGCTGCCTACGCAGCTAATGTTTTCTCCCAGGTGAGAGACTGCCTTTGTCCCTGGCCCGGCCTCCCCACTCCTCCCATGGGCCCCTGGGCTCTGCTCCTCCCACTCACCCCTTCCCTTGCAGCCACACAGCGTTTGCCTCAAGGCACCTGCCATGTCCCTAGACTCCGTTCTTGCTACTGGTTGTCATTACCAGAACTTAACAAATGGGAAAATTATGACAATACAAATAGTATTTACTATTAATGCTCACTAATAATAATCCAACCTCTGCCCTGAAGGGTGTGTGGCGATTCCCAAAGCTCTTCCACGTTTAGTTTTCAAGACATATGACAGAGGTACTGTTACATCCCTATTTTCCTAATACCGAAACTGAGGCCCAGAGAGGTAAAGTGACCTCCTCAAGGTCACACAGCTGGTAAGTGGTGAGCCTGACCAAGTCCGCTGACCCCCAGTCCAGAGCTCTTCCCACCCACCAGCTTCACCCTACATTGTCGTCCTTCTCATTGACATCCTTCTAACTGGCCCCATGCTCCTTCAGGCCCCTGAGTTGGGCTCAGGAGAAGGATCTGAGTTATCTGAGTTTGGGCCAGGTCCTTGGTGCCGACAAAACCCGAAAGGCAGTGAGCCCATGCGAGCCTTCGAAACATTTGACCTGGGCCAAGTAGCCCATCTAGAAACCACTAGGTGCTTTGGGATTATTTGGGCCTTGCTAGAGAGCTGTGTCCAGAAAACAGGCAGAGCTGGGTTCTAGGTCCCCTTTGTGACTGGCCGTGTGACCTTAAGACCTCTGAGCCTCACTCGCCTCCTGTGTGGATTATTCAGGGACTGAAATGAGCTGGTTGTCAAAGTTTTTCACAAACAGTGAAGGCCTGGGTGCTGTTGGTTACAGTTTCCTTTGACTGCCACATCCCTATGCGGGTCCCTGGGACACCCTGGAGCTCCCCCCATGGCTCCCCAGCCCCGGGTGCACATGTGAGCACTCCCTCCCTTACCCTCACTCACATGTGGCCTGGTCTAACAGGCTGTCTTCCTCTGACCCCCTAGTCGCTTGGGTAATGACCGTTAGTGAGTGCTTGCTCCGTGCGAGGCACCACCGTGGGCAGGGGGCTGCAGTGTGGACCTGAGCCTCTGCCCTGGAGATGGAACTCTTCCTCCCCTGCTGTGCCCCCTTCCGCCAGCCCTCGCCTTCCGATGTCCTCCTGGCAGCCTGGGCCTCCTCACCGCCCCCACCCCCATTCTGCAAGTGGTCTGGGGTCCTGAGTGCCTTTGGTTACAGAGGTCCAGGCTCCCTGGACTCCGGGCCTGAGCGGCCTCACAGCCTGCCTGTACCTCTCCATTGCCAGATCCCGGCCGTCCACGACTTCGGCCTGTTCATGTCTCTCATTGTGTCCTGCTGCTGGCTGGCTGTGCTGTTCACCATGCCGGCCGCCCTGGGCATCTGGAGCCTTTACATGGCACCGCTAGAGAACGCCTGCCAGACCAGGTGAGCAGCCAGTAGAGGTGGGGGGGCCATGTCCTCTCACCAAATGCCCATAACACGTCCTCCAGCACCGCTCAGCGCCCCACCCTCTCTTCTAAAAGCTGTGGGATCCTTTATTGAGTATCTTCTGTGTGCCCAGTTCTATGCTGGGCACTCCTGCAGGACCGAGGAGGGAGAAGAGAATCCTGCCGGGGAGTTGCCATTTGGGAGGACCTACTCTGTGCCAGGAAGTGGGCAAAGCGCTTTTATACAAGAACTTATTCCCCCCCCAGGACCCTCGGAGCTGGGTGCCCTTGTTTTGCGCATTTTACTGACAATGAAACAAGGGCTGGGGGAGGGTGGGCAACATTCTCAAGGTCACCCGTTCAGTAGGCAGCAGAGCCGAGATTTAAACCCAGTGGTCTGACCGGCACCCCCGCGCCGGCCGCCATGTTCAGTGCTTCTCGGGTTTTTGCCTTGGTGGAGTAACCATGTTTAGACACAGTGAGCCGCGTGCAGAGTTGGATGGGTCGGCCCACAGGTGCTGCTGGAGGTCAAAGGGTTGGGGTCTTGCGGGCTGGGTGGTCAGGGAAGGGGGAGGGAAGGAGGGAGGGAGGGAGGGTGGCCACATGGAGTCAGGCCTGGGTGGCTGGCTGGGCTTGGGTACTAGGAATGACAGGGGTTCGGGGCTTGGGGCGGGGCACACCAGCGCAGGGGACCCTCTCCCTGGGTCCTGGTTGCCGTCACCCTTTGTCTCCCCAGAGGAAGAATGGTACCGAGGGCCCGGGGGCGGGGGGTTGGCTGGGGAGGTGGCCCCGGAAAGGAATCAGGCAACAGGCTCCTGGGAGTCTGTGGTGAATGTCCTCCAGGAGACATCCACAGCAGTGTGAAGCCGGGGCTCATAGGGTGGCTGGGGCCTTGCCCCAACCTCCCTGCGCACCTGGGGCCCCCCTGGGGCTCACCCCTCTCCCCCACTCTCTCCTTAGCTGCCACCAGAAGTGTGGCCGCAAGAGCTCCCTGCACTTGCCCGGGGATGTGTTCGCCACTCCTGAGCGGGCTGGGGGCAGCCCTGCCCAGGGCCCCATGCCCTACCTGGATGATGACATCCCCTTGCTGAACGTTGAGGAGGAGCCAGGTAAGTTTGGCGCTGGCCTGCCCTGCTGACCCTGGCGAGACCCGGGCCTGCATCTGCCAGGGAGGTCACCTTTGATGAGATGGTGTGAGGACAGACTGGTCCTGATGGCCTTAGGGGATCCTCATCAAGCACTCGGACTTCCCTAGAGAGGACAGGGACCAGAGTGGGCTTTGACCTCTGATGAGCCGCTGCTCTGCCCTGGCAGTGTCGCTGGAGCTGGGAGACGCGTCCCTGGTGTCTATGCCCCCCGAGAGCCTCCAGCCAGCCCCCGACCGGGGCAGCAGGGGCCAGCTCATTGCCCAGCTGCAGGAGCTGCTGCACCACTGGGCCCTGTGGTCCGCTGTCAAGAGCCGCTGGGTGATCGTGGGTAAGTGGGGTCTCCACCCTCTTTCCCCTCTGACTTGCAGCTTTTCCCCAGTGCCCGAGGCATGGGGGACAGACACCCCAAAGGACATATCGGCCCTGGGAGCCCAGCCCCCTCCTGCACATGACCCTGGGTTGGCGTCTCACTCTCTGGGCCTCACCCCCTTCCCATGTAGAATGGAGCTGGTCCCCCATAACTGTGTGCCAGTCATCATATTGGGTGGTAGAGCAGAGCGCTTAAGGCTTGGGCTCTGGAGTCAGACCAGCTTGGCCAGATTAGAATCCTAATTCTACCATGTACTGGCCGGGTAACCTTGGGTTTGTCAGTCAGTCTGGGCCTCAGTTTCCTATCCTGTTCCTGAGGATAAGAATTGTATCTGTCTAATAGGGCAAGCCACGGTACAAGGAAAGAACTCCGACCGGTGTGTGGCATGCAGTAAGTGCTCAGTAAATGCTGAGTGCTATCATGATTATAATCACTGACAGTATTTAGAGTTGTGTTTAATCAAGTGGACGTGCCAGCTCTTCAGAAACTGTTAGGTGCTCTAAGGTGGTGGCTGGTTCTTGTCCAAGAATGCAAACTTGTAGCTTCTAGTCTGCCCCCCAGGTGACATGAGTAACATCCAACCCCGACCGCCAGAGGACCAATCCCTGACCAGCTTCAGCCGCAGGCTGGCATGCCACACCTCTGCCAGCTCCCCAGGGACCCTGCCCCCCACCGCTCCCCCATAAAGGGAGCAGCTCTTCCCCAGGGCTGTGAAGGCCCCCCAGGCCCCGGGCCCTGGCCCCCGGCGCCGTCTAGCATGCCTCCTTTCTTGGCAGGGCTCTTCGTCTCCGTCCTCATTCTGTCCCTGGTCTGCGCCAGCCGGCTCCGCCCCGCCAGCCGGGCCCCCCTGCTCTTCCGGCCCGATACCAACATCCAGGTGCTGCTGGACCTCAAGTACAACCTGAGCGCTGAGGGCATATCCTGCATCACCTGCTCAGGTAAGAGTTCAGTCAGGGTGTCCCCTGTGGCTCCCCGCTCTCTTTGGAACTCAGGTCTCAAAGACCATTGGCCTGCGAGATGCAAGGTCCAGGTCACTGTGCAACCTCAGCAAATCACTCCACATCTGAGCCTGAGTGTCTCCCCATTTCCTGAAACGGGTATTTACCGGGTGCTGGGAAAACCGTAGTGGGCAGGACAGGCTTCCTGAGCTCTGGGAGTTCATCTGCTTGCTAGGAGCCAGCATTGGAATAGTAGATCTGTGCTGTGGTGGAGGAAGAACGGGCAGCCTGGGGAGCTCAGCATCATGGAAGGCTTCCTGAAAGAGGCAGTGTCTAAGCTGAGACTCAAAGAAAGGGAAGGAGTTAGCCAGGCTGAGAGAGAGAGAGAGAGAGAGAGAGAGAGAGAGAGAGAGAGAAGAGAAGAGGTCTAGGCAGAGGGAAGCACCAGAGGTGGGCAAAACCAGGGCCAAGTTTGAGAGAGTCGGTCTCAGGAGCTAAGGCTAGCCAGGTATGCTGGCAGGGGAGCAACTGGAGGATTTTAGGCAGAGAAGGGCCATGACTGATTCTCCCAGGTGCTGTGTGGAGGCGGTTGGGAGGGACAGGGTAGAAGCCGGCTGGGAGACCAGGTAGGAGGCTGGTGCCTTCATCTGAACAAAAGACAGTGGGCCTGGGCCAGCGTGCTTATGGTGGCAGTGGAGTCAAGAGGTTTCTAAGAGGTGAAATCCACAGGATTTGGTGATGGCGAGTGGGTGTCAGGGATGAGCAAGGAGGTGAGTTGAAGATGTCTCCTCGCTTTAGAGGGAGTCTGATCCAGGCCCTCATTTTACAGAGGGAAGCCTGAGGTCAGGGTTGGGGCCAGGGGAGGTTGGCCCAAGGTCATACAGCTTTGCCAGGTCAGTTAGAGAAGCTCCTAGGAGAAGATCCGCTGACTGCTGTAATTGCCTTCATTTAATTAGGGCAGTGTTCACATTAACCTGGCCTTCCCCTTGGTAATGGCATTAGCCAAATGCATGATAATCGACTGCAGCTCAGAGAGGTGCCCAAAGAGCCCCTCCTAAATTGGAGCTAGCCCCGGCCACATCCCTGGCTCCTCTCTCTCCCGCCCGCGCCTACACATTAAACGGCTATGAGGCCGCCTGCGAGTCAAAAAGCCACTCCTCTTTCCTAGGTGGACAAAACCCAGGATGGTGCCGAAGTTCCTGGAATTGTCCAGAGAAGGGCCAGGAGGCTAGCCCAAGTCCAGCCTCCGCCCCTTGCCCCTCTTAGCTCCCTGAACTGCTCTTAGGGAGACCTGTTGGTGTTGCAGCAGAAAGGGCTTTCAGGGCCACCAAGACTGGATCCAGTGAGGCTCTGCCTCTTACTTCCTCTGCAGGTCACAGAACCTCCCCGAACCTCTCTGCTTTCTCCTCTGTCATATGGGGTTAATGATAATGACCTCCGAGAATTATTGTGAAGATTGCATCTTTGAAGGTGTAAAATTTCTCTCATGAAACAACAACAAAAGAAAACAGAAAATTCACCCCCAGTGGGTGAGGCAAAACAGGACAGTCTCTTGTCATCTCTGCTGGTTGATGATGTCCCATTTCTAATTGTACCCACTCATGGAGCATTTATCATGAGCCAAATGCATGAGATGCAGCATCCCGTTTGGTCCTTCCGCCACCCTCTGGGGGTTCGGAGTCGCCCCATTTGACAGAGGCGGTACTTGAGGCATGGCGAGCACAAGGAGGGAAAGCATCAGTGTCTTCCTTTGGATGGAGCTGACAGGTGTCTTCCTTTTGCCTCCAGATTCCTGTGAATTCAGTATTTGGCATTTTTTTCAGTTCCATCCAGCTTCCTTCAGACCCCTGTCACCCCTCCCCCAAGCCGAGGGCCCCAAGGCCCGTGTCCCTAGGGTGGCCATCTCTCTCCATCTCTGCCCTCCCCTGCTGGGCTCAGCCAGGGAAGCCCTGCTGTCCCTAACGAGGCACGGGGGTAGGTCTGTTCCAGGAGAAGCCCCACAGCCTGCAGAACAACATCCGGACATCCCTGGAGAAGAAGAAGCGGGGCTCGGGGGTCCCCTGGGCCAGCCGACCTGAGGCCACCCCACAGGGTTAGTGGGGAGTGTGGTCTGGCTGGTGGGGAGGGCCTCGGGAGATCCTGCCTAGTACTAGGACCTTCCTATGAGAACAAGAGTCTGTGTTGTTGGAGTCACCGAGGAGGGGTTGGGTTGGGGGGCCCTTGCCCACTATCCTACTAGCTCTTCTCAGTCAGAACAGTAGGCATCCCCTCCTGCCACCACCCAGCCAGGCCTCTGGCGCCCCAGCAACCTGTTATGTGTGCCAGATCCATCCTGAGTGTCTGGGGGAGGGTAGGGGCATCCTGAGCCCCGGAGGCTGGCTTATCCCTGCCCAGGTCCCCATCAGAGGTGGATGCTGGGACACATGTGGGATTTAGCCCCGCTATGGGGCAGTTCTGTGTCCTTGTCACCCCGTGGCTGTTGTCACCCTCTGTGTGCCTGCTGTTGTCATTCGCAGCTCCAGCCCCACCATTTACCCCGCCCCCCCATCACGGGCAGCACCGCCACTACCCTAACCCAGATGGCACATCTTCACCACGACTTAGGGTCAATCCATCCACCTACACTGCCACCCCATCCTGGTGACCACGGCCATCTCCCGCTTCATCCGTGCCACCACCCCATCCCC